TTGCAATGGGCACCCACCCATTGCAATGGGCACCCACCCACCCAAAGGGAAGCGAGAGTTTCCCTTTGGGTGGGTGGGTGCCCATTGCAATGGGTGGGTGCCCATTGCAATTACAGTTGCAACTTCGAGGAGGGGTGTTTAAGGTTTAAAGCGCTTTGCAAAAAAAAAAGAAAAGCGATTGCGGCCGCCGGGCAAGAGGGGTTCGCCTCGGGGTGGCACCGCGACGCCCACCCACGCGCGACCCTCCTGCGCTCCCCGCTTCCCCACCCCGCATTTGCTCCCTTCCCAGCTGAACGCGGGGCGTGTTATCAACTGTTGCTCCTTTGTGCAAAAGGGTTACAATCGCTTTCGCCCAGAGGGGTGGGGTTTGCGCGGTGCCCGATTAGACCAGCCGGAGGAAGACTTAGCTTGGGAAGCCGGCAGCTCATTGACGGAGTGGGGGGGGGGGGCACGCCGCGCGTTTTTTCCCCAGTCAATGGACGCGTTCCCGCTCCTTAACGCCCCGCCCGCCAGCCCGACTTCCCCGCAAACAATCCATGTGTGCATGGTTTTTTCCCCTTTTTTCACGCGTGGGTGCATTGCTTCCCCTGCAGAGAGCTTTGGCTGGAAAAGCAACGTGGGGGGAGGAAAGCTTCCTTGCAGTGGATTCCCACAGGATCCCCTTTGCGGGGCGGACGGGGGTGGGTGGGTGGAGAAAGCAAGCTGCGGGTGCCACCCACGCCCTGGGTGGAAAAAGAGAAAGAAGCCGCAGCGTTGGAAGATTTGCGCAAGGCTGCGCGGAGGACTGGCCGGGGAAAATGAAGTAATCGCGCCCTCTAGTGGCGACCCGCGCAAGGAAGCCAAGCAAGGGGTGTGTGGCGGCGGCTCACCGGTTGTCTGGATGCTGAGATAGGACAGGCGGGGGTCTTCCAAATCGACCCCCCCCCCTTTTTTAAAAAAAACATTTTATTTTACGGGTTGGACTAGGGGGCATGGCAGCTTCTGAAAACTAGTGGTTTTCCCCCCTTTGCAAACCTTTCAGCTCCAGCATCTCCCATCCTTGCAGAAAGTTTCCTAAAAAGAAAAGTGGGTGTGCAAAAAACCCCATCAAGTGTCTCCTTCTCGGGGCATTTTGATTTGATCATTTGAGAACTTCTCTTGTTTGTGCAAATTCATTATGAGACGATTAATTATTTTGGGGGGCAAGGATTTGGGGCAAAAATGCTTTTTTTGTGCATTTTTTTGTCCATGTGCCCAGAGTCCTACGGGATTGGGTGGCATATAAATTTATTAAATTGCATATAAATTTATTAAAATTTGTGCTAGAAAACGCTGTTTGCGTCAAAGGTGGAAGTGTGCCAAATAGCCCCCAAACGGCAACATTTTCCTGAAACAAACAAAACACACTGCTTTCTTTCCTCTTACACATTTACCACCGTGTTGTGTTATTCTTCTAGTTGTGCAGCCTCGTCTCCCACTTAAAAGTTTATACAGGGAGTCCTTCGACTTATGACCGGAATGGAGGCTTCCCAGCATTGCTTCTAAGTGGTGAGGGTTGTAAAATGGTGAGAGGCTTGATTTTATGACCAGTTGTGCTGGGGTCGTTAAGCGAGCCAATGGTTGGCTATGGGCGTGGTTTGGCTGAAAAGTGGGTCAGGTTTCCAAGCTCACAAAGTTACATGAAGGCAGGATGGGGGGGGCACTCAAACCTCAGAACATCTGACGGTGGAGTTGTAAGTAGCAGAACAGAAACAGAATAACACAATCGGAAGGCACTTGGAGGTCTTCTAGTCCAGGGGTCACCAATCTCTCGGACCTCAAAAGACTACTAAATTCATAATTTTAAATCCTGCGGACCACTAATATGATCTGCCTAAAGACCAGCTGGGTGGGCGTGGCTAGATGATCATGTGACTGAGTGGGCATGGCCAGCTCGATGTCACGTAGTGGGGGCGCCTTGCCAGCCACTCCTCGCCACTCCTTAGCCGGGCTCCTTAGGGTCCCAACAGGAAGCACTTGCTGGAGCTAAGCAGCCACCAGGAGAAAGAGTTGGCAAAACAGCTCAGTTCAAATTGAGTCTGACCGAGAAGGAGGCTCAGCAGAAGAACCTCACTGAGGACTACGAGCATAGGCTGTCCAAGCAGAGGGAAGGCCTGCGGGAGTGCAAGGCCAGNTTTTCATTAGTTCTTAGACGCTGGACGGCTGTTTGGCATGCATTCGCAAAGAGTTCTGTGGTTTTTCAAAATGGAGTCCATTACGATATTTACGTCAGGCTGAATGTCTATGAGACGCGCTAAACGTTTTCCACACGTTTATGTCAGGTTGATATTTTACCCCTTTCTAGGTCCACTTCTCTCCCCAATGTTTATAGGCTTGAATAATATTAATAGCAACACTTAAATTGTTTTTTTTTTTTAAATACAAGAGTTCCTCAACTGTTGAAGTTTGTTTTTGAGTTGTTCGTGTCGTTTCCTCAGATGCTCCTTTTCCGCTAAGAGTCTATGCTCCTCGGATTGGATCGAGAGGACATATTCGGTGGCCTTTTTAAGGATGACAACTTTAGGAGCTTTTTCATTATTCGCGACTTCGGGGATCTGGTCACGCAGCGCAAAGAAACTCAGTTTTAGCTCATTCCGCCTCTGCCGCTCCAGGACGTTGTGCGTTCGCCTTTTGTCGTTTTCTTCAGAGTCCGAGGTGCGCGGACTCGAACATTTGCGGTTGTTACTGATTTGTTTCAAAACCCGACCATTGTCCAACTTTAGCCTTTTGCTGGCGCTGTATTCGTGGCGCGTGGAAGGAGGGGCGGCATAATTGTGTTGGTGGATCGGGACATGGCAACGTTTGAGGACCAGTGGGCTGTGAGGGGGCTTACTGTGACCCCCGGATGTGTGTCCCACGGACTCGGATTTCCTGGCTGAAGGTTGCCTTTTTTCCACAGTAACCACATCAATTTCCTCTTCCTCCTCTTGTTCTTCTTCTTCTTCCTCTTCTGAAAAAAAATAAATAAAAGAAGATAGAGAGATAAAGTTAATTTTTTATTTTTTTTCTCCTAGAGGCTTGAATAATATTAATAGCAACACTTAAATTGTTTTTTTTTTAAATACAAGAGTTCCTCAACTGTTGAAGTTTGTTTTTGAGTTGTTCGTGTCGTTTCCTCAGATGCTCCTTTTCCGCTAGAAAAAAAATGGGACGTTGGGATTAGCCTCCCTTAATCTGTCTGTCTTTGGCCAACTTGGAGGCCAGGAACTGTAGATAAAACACACAAAGCTTCTAAAAAAATGAGACTTCTCTCTAAAAAGGGGCAGATCTTAAAAAAAAAAAAAGTTTATTATGCAATTGAGGATGCAACTCTACGCATCTCCACCAAGATGACAATCCCAAAGAACTAATAACTGAATCCTGGCCATCTCTCAGATGTTGAAATTGCAGAATTGCATAACTGTGTGAGCATCTGAGCCAAGAAAACTCAAGTTTCTAGGCTATTTAAAACAAGGATGACATCTGTCTGGGGGGGGGGCATCCTTCTCCACCCTATGCCAGCTTCCCCCCCCCCCTAACCTCTGGTGAAGAAAACCAAGTCATATTCTGAAGGTGGCGAGGACTAAAAATTCCCACGATCCCTTCACACCTAAGGGCTGCTTAGGAGGAGCTGATGTTCAACATTTGGGCCTAAGGCTATCCTAGATTGTCCACCCACAAGCCAGTGTGGAATGTGAGAAAGTGAAAAAAGAAAAAAAAAACCTTGGCACCACACCCAGCTCTTTGTTAAGTTTTAATGGCCAGGAGCAATCCCTATTTAAACCTATCCTGGGAATCCTGCAATCCTATTATTCAAGCATGTAACAATGCAGCCTGGAAAAAAAGAGGGTGCCTGCCCCCTCCCAATGATTCTCCAAGACCTTTTTCTCTCTCCTCACCACTTGTATGTGTCAACCAGATCAGGGGGCTCCAAGCCTTGGCAACTTTTGAGCCTGCAGGACTTCAACTCCCAGAATTCCCCAGCTGGCTGGGGAATTCTGAGAGCTGATGTCCTCCAGGCTCAAAAGTTGCCAAGGCTTGGAGACCCCCTGTAACCAGAAGACAAGCCCGGATTAAAGCCCAGCCAGTAGATTTAAACTTCCCGGTCTGTAGCTAGCTCTGCGCTGACCTCATAAGACCCAATTGAAAAAAAAATACTTTTTTGGCTTTGATCTGCCTAGGGGACAAGTTTTTCTAGGAATTGCAATTCCTGGGAAGCTCGGCCCCTGTATGTCGCTAACGTGGCAGCGTAATAAGAGTACACACATATGCTGGGAGGGAGAGGGAGGTGCTGCGCAATCGAAGTATTTGGGGCAGGGGGGAAGAGAAAGAGCAGACGCGGTTCTCAAATGCTCAGCCCAGCCAACATGTGATGTCAGGGATAAGGAGGACATTCCATTTGGCTATTGTTATCGCGGTGGTTACGCAAGTCAAACTTTCTAGAAGTTCCCGCTTTCTCTCTCCCTTCAAGAGGAAAAGGTGTTCAAACACCCAATTCCCCCCCTCACCACCTCAAAAACAAAATAGGGGGGCAGCCAGTTCCTAATAATCCCTGTCTGAAACTTCCACACATCCCCCTTTTTTTGGAGTGGCATTATTAGAAGCCCCAAATGAAAACAGAACCAATTTAAATCCTTAGTGGGGACCCCTGAAACTCTCACGAGGACACACGAAACAGCCTGGCCATAATCCCACTTCCCCCTTTCGCAGCCTCGCTGAGCCTCTCTGTACAATGGGAATATTTCATTCCCGCCATCTGGAAGGAGGAGGAAGCTGGGCTGATTCACTGTTGAAAGGAGCCACTCCAAGCTGCTTCAAGGCAACTGCAGAAAAGCCAGGTACGCCTGAAAACAGGGCCAGGTGGAAGTGGTTCGAGGCCAAGTTTAGACCTTGAGTTTTAAAAATAAAATAAAAAAGCCCCCCCACCCCCCCAATATATCTTAGTTGGCCAGTTAAAACCTGGCTCAGAAGTGCCACTGTGAAGGTATTGACTTTTCAGCTGGCGCTTGAGAAAGCGGTTATGTGCGTCCATGAGAATGCACACACCGCTTTGCATTTTGGTAGTTTGCTGGAACAGTACCCAATGAATTACTCCAGCAGGCAGTTATCATAATACTAAGTGTAGTATTTCCAGTTTGACAACTTCCTAACCTCACCTACAAGTCCATGCTTTGCAAATGCCCAGGGGCCCTGTTCTAAGCCCCACTGGGACTGCTGGCTCCTTTCACCCTTCTTCACCCAAATCCCACCTTCTAGAGGGGGCACGCCCCTCATCGCCACTCGCACCCCCCAAGTGTGGGAAAGAGGCCCCTAAAAGAGAAGCCCACCGCTCACCTGAATCACTGCTGGTGGTTGGGGGCGTATCTTGGCCGAGCAAGGAAGCCGGGCACGGGTCAGGCGAGGAGGCAGACGCTTCTACAGCTTTGGGGGTCTTCTCCCCCAAAGGGTAAGGAAAGACCACCGAGGGGTCAATGCACTCGGCCGCAGAGGCTCCCAGGTCTTGTAGATAGGAGCTGCTGCTGCTGGGAGAAGAGGCAGAGCTGTGCGAGGAAGACGACGGGAGGCCACTAACGCTGCTGTTCCCACTGCGGAGGGACAGCGGGGACCCCGCCCCGTCCCGACGGGCCGCCTGGTAGGAAGCAAGTTTCTCCGAGACCACCTTCTGGAGCTTGGCTGCCGCCGAGCCCCCGCTCCACATGCAGTCCTGGATGATGATGGACTTGACGAAGGCGTCGTCGTCTGGGTCGCAGATGAAGCTCTGGTTGACCACCTCGCTGCCCAGCAGCTCCGTCACCATCTCCAGCTGGTCGGCATGGGAAGGGAAGCTGCTGGACCGGCGGCTGGGCGAGAGAGGCGGTGTGGGCAGCAGCTCAAATTTCTTCCAGATGTCTTCGGACGGGGCGGGCGGCTGGAGCTCGCAGCCCCGGTGGTGGCCCGAGAGGTAGAAGTTCTCCTCCTCATCTTCATAGTAGAAGTAGGGCTGGATGGAGTCGTAGTCGTAATCGTACGCCCGGCTGGGATAACTCAAGCTCGGGACAGTTAGGGGCATGGCACTGGAGGGTTGCCTGGCAAGAAAGGGGGAGATGGTTAATGGGGCAAGTCGCTACCTCGGCCAACTCTACTCTACTCCCAATAGGAAAAAATATATATATCAGATGTCCCGCACGGAGAAAACTCGCGTGGCAACTACTCCGGAATTACTATCTCCCTTGGGATGCGCGTTCAACCCACTTCAGAATTTGGGAGCAATTCGGGTTAATTAAAGTCGCGGGGGGCTACTCCGGGACGCAACACAAGGCACCGGACTTACGAGGGGTCGGGAGCGCAGCGCAGGATCCGAGCACACGAATCCAGCCCAGCCGTCCCTCCCGCCAGCTGGTCAACGCCGCCTGCCCAGGTGAGCCCTGAATCCGACCGCTCCTCGGTCGAGGCGCGGCACAGCCGTTCCAAGCGCGGCTGCTTTTTCTTTTTTTTAACGGGTGGCTTCGGCTACACCCCCCTTCCTTCCTCGGGAGGCGCCACCCAGAATCAAACCAACTCCACGGCTTTCATGCCCCGGCGCTGCTGCTCCCGGGCGCCACCTTAAAAAAAAGAAAGCCAGGCGAGCGGGCAGCTTTCCAGCAGCGCCTGTCCGGGATTTAACTCCGGGCTCCCGCCGCGCCGGCGTTAGTTCGCGCTCCGAGCGGCACTTTTCGTGGCGCGCGGGGGTCGGGAAACCTCCCCTTCGCTTCCCCTTTCTCCAGCCCGCCTCTCTCACTTCGGCTCGGATCAGCCCGCAACCGCTGGTAGTAAGAGAGTATTCCGCGCAACGCCCCGTCCTTCCCCTTCCAAACGGACCTCGCCACCCACCCACCTTCCCCGGCCACGGAACGCCGGCTACATGAAGGCAAACGCCCGGCAAAAAAAACAACAACACAAAAGGGTTCCAAAGCGGGGAAAACCCGACACGAAGCGCCAAAGCGGCTGGGGAAAGTCTTCCAACCAGAGGGTTTCCTTTTGCAAACAGCCGGGCTTGCTCGGGTTGCCTTTGGAGAGGAGGTTCGGCAAGCGGCGTTTAGGAAGAGCCGCTTGCCTTTCGCCCGAGAGGGAGGTCGATTCGCCCCGGGCCGGGAGATCGGAGCGACGGAGCAAGCAAAGCGAAGGAAAGCAAGCATTAAGACTTGCCCGGAACGGCGAAGCTTGGAACAGACGCTTCCAAAACTTACCGGTTCTTTTTTTTCAGATTCCGGCCAAGACTTGCGGCTGGAAAAGTCCCCAAGATCGGTGCAAAAAATTAATAAGAATAGCACAATCCAAGTCTTTGCAAAAAAAAAAAAGCAAGACCACCCCGCCGAGGGGGGGGCGGCTTAGAAGGAAAGGCGCGCAGTTGCACCGTCTGTTCCTCCCGGCGTCTCTTTAAACGGTGCTGGAAGCAGCAGCAGCGAGGATATTGTAAGTCCACAGCGGCGTCTCCAAGCTCCGAAATCCCAGGCTGGAGAATCAAAAAGCCTTTTTCTTCCCCCCCTCTCTTCTCCAAAAGCGCCGGCTCGGGAACGAAAGCCAAGGGGCGGGGAGGGTGGGGGGAGTGGAGTGGAGCTTCGTGCACGCGCGGATCCCCTACGCTGGTATTTATTTACGATGCCACAGCTTGGAGGGCGGCAATAGCGGCGGCGGCGGCTGCAGCAGCAATTCCTCCTCCTCCTTCGGTGGAAGCTCCGCTCCCTCCCCCCGTGTCGCCTCTGAGCTGCAGGACTCCGCCGCTTTGCTTTATAAGCCCTTGGCCGCTGCTCCGCCTTCCGTTTTCCCGCCAACCGGCCTCCCCTCCCCTCCCCTCCCCTCCGACCCCTCCCTCTTCTCCCTTTTTTTTGCAAGGGAACAGCCTGGGTAGAAGCTGGTAGCAAAGCAAGGGGAGCGCGTAGAGGGAGAAAAAGGAATGATAATAATAATAATAATAAAAATCCACGCACAGACACGCTCGCGCGGGGAAAGGAGGAACGGGGGAGGGAAGGCTGGCTCCCTTCCCCTCTTTGTCTCTTTCAATTCTTTCTCCTCTGCCCTCCCCAAAAAGCGGGGAGGGGGCGACCTTGCAAAAGGGGAGGGGGCTTTTCCAAGGGGCGCTGCCGCAGCGAGAGAGATAGAGAGAGAGAGAGAGAGAGAGAGAGAGAGAGAGAGGGAAAGCGGGGGAGGGGGAAAGAAAGATACGACTGGCTCCGGTTCTGCACTGCGATCCGCCTTGCACGGCTCGCGTAGTCCACGGGGGGCTGGGGGAGTCTTCAGCAGAGCAAGCAAGGGAGAAAAAAAGACAAGCGTGTGCGTGGAGGTGGCATCGGTCGTGGGGATGGGTGTCTGGGCGGGGGGCTTTTGCAGGGTTGCTGCTGCGGCGGCGGCACGACGCACCTTCCCTCCCCAGTTTGCAAACGGCCGGGTTCCTTCCAGCTGCTCCCCCCGCTTTTCAGATTTAGGGGAAGGTCGAGCAAAAAAAAAGGAAGTAGAAGGAAGAAAAAGTCGACCCTGTTTATTTTATTTTTTGCCCTCCCCAAAAAAGCGGGGTGGGCGATTTGGGAGAATTGCATCCCCCCCCCCGTTTTTTCAATGCTCAGCCGACACGCA